ATATGCATAGATTTGATCCTTCCTTTGTCTCTCCCTCTTGTTAGCGGAAAGTTCATTTCCATTTTGGATCGTTACCGGCGGAACATTGCTGTATCCTATCGTTGCTGCTTGATAAGGGAATAAGCAACTTTTGTAGGAGAAACTAAACTCAGTTGTCTGTGTTGTAGCTGTACATAAAGAGAATGGAAGCCGTGCTGCTCCAGAAGTATCAGATCAACCTGACGATGGGGAGGGTGGCTGGTTGAAGAAACTTTCTGATTTTGGTGGGTAAAAATGCTGAACTTGATTTCGTTATACTGCAATTGCTGATGGGTGTTTGGTCTTGTTTACATGTCACCAATGCCAGAGGGCCTTATATCCTTCAGTATATTCTCATTGATCATATCTTGTTACATGTCTGAAAAGATTTGTCGATGTAGAAATTCATGTTCAGTTCCTTTTTATTGTACTGAACTTATTAATGATTATACTGATTTTTTTATTGACTTGGTTCTGTAATCAATTGCATTTACGTTATCTCGTGTATCATGTCCTCATGTCGACCAAGTTCTCTGTCGAATTCTTTCAGATCCATTGTCAACGAGGCATCCAAGTGGCTGAAGGACAACCTGTAGCCCCTGTAAATATTCACCGCCAATGCATTCTCTTCAACACCAGTTATGGTGTTCGACGAGCTGTTGCATGCATGTGTTCCGTTGGAGAGGCTCATCTTTTACGGGCAGTGAAGTGGCAACGGAGAGGTTTAGTGTCAACTAATTTTATTGACGCCATATTTCTTTTGTTTTGAGATACTTTTGTCAAGCATGAATTTTGCTGTAGACGCACTCATATTTCCTAGAGCATGTAACAGTCGTCTGATTCACGGCCGCTGATATCAAGCTCGATGAAGCCTACATTCTTTACCAAGTGAATATCCTCGTCGCTCCAAATTCAGAATAAACAGGCATCCGCATCTTCAAGTGCAATTTTTTGCAATAGAACACAAGATTTCCGGACAGAATACAACTTTTATGCACTCTGTTCTTGTTCGTCTTACAAGGCGTCTTGAGTTGCAAAATGAAAGTGAATCAAGACACATGATATTATCTGAACTTGAAGGTGGTACAAGCCCTAGTCCCATGTGGAAGTGGAGCTGAGCTTGAGCAAGACGAGGACGGCGGCTGCCATGGGCAGGGACACCATGAGCAGCGCCTCCACGATGTTGGGCCGCGTGATGTCTGGGAGCAGCACGCTGCCGTACTTTACAGCCGCCGCCGACGGACCCCGGCGTCAGGAGGTAGCCAGAGTCATCCTGGTTGAACGACACACGTGAACCAAAGGGAAATCGACTCAGAAACCAGAGCAAAATTCGGTTAGAGCTTAAAGGAGAACCTATATTGATTTGCCAATTTGTTACGCAGTACATTGTAAATATATTGCGGCAGCAAGCCAAGGAAACTGGTAAGAGGTTGTGCGAATGTAGTGCTACCAGTATTCCAGGGCGGAATGGCTGCAATTGCCTCGGCTTGTGTCATGGGAAATTTCAGAAGAGTTATATGATTTTCCAGAGCACTAAAGTTGACATCAGTTGGATTTATACCACGAAAACAAAGGTCTGGGTAACTGAAGGACAGCAATCTTTGTTGTGCAAGAATTTTATTACAGACTCTTACTGTCCTGTTCAACAACTGGGACATAGTAATTGATAAAAAAAAATCAAATGCTACCATGAGTTATTAGATAAACCAACAGAAAATCCAAAGCCTAAAAATCAGACAAAGTCACACACACACACACAAGCAGATCGCTTCATGTATTGTACAAAGAACAATGTCCTAAGAAACCGTATCTACAACCCATCGAGTTTGCTACAAAGGAAATCCCAAGGACAACCTGTATGCACTCATACGCAAGCATCAATTCTGGTGTTTCCAATTTTAATGAGAGGCTAATCAAAATGAGAGGCCAAGCAGTGCTGGATAATCATAGTGAAGTCTAATTAAAAATGTTACTAAGTGCAAGAGAGGCAAGGTGACTAATTAAACAGTGGCCCATATCTAATATAAGAAATGCACAACATAGAAACTAGAAAGCATTGTAAGAGTGGTAAGGTGGCGAGGTTTAGTTGACCTGCACAGACGAATGCATATCTTTGTCAGCAGAGCAATCGGATCCAGGCAAGGCTCGGTCGAAGACCTCGTCTTTGTTCATGGTAGCCCCAAGATCGCTTTGAAGGAGGAACAACAGACATAATCTGATAGTCAGAAGCGTTGGTCACACAGATAAACAACCACGGGCGAGAAGAGATAGCGTTGAGTACCTGTCGATGAGAGCCTCGTGAGGGGGAGATGGTTCTTCTAGCGCCGCCAGCTTTTGTCCGATTTGGTGTAGAAGGGGATCTGAAAAAATAGGGCAGACATGGTTGTTAGTCCTTATAAGGTTGAGAAAAAATATGGCCCGTGCACTGTATCTACATGGGCATGTTGCCCCTCACAATCAAATTCACACGTGCAAACTCTACCTAAACAGCATAGAATTATGCAATATGCCTTTGGTTTGTTTTTTTTCTTGTCAAACTTGGAGTAGTACGATCAGACATTCTAAGTACACTACCATAGTAGGATCTGTGATATACTGCATGCCTTCAAGGAGTAGCGTTTCAGAACGCCTTCATAGCAACTTGATCTTCATGCCCTAGCTCACCAGTCGTCTTCATCGAGACAGTCAGACTCTGCACTGTAAGGGTAGATACCAATGGACCACACTGCGTCAGTTGCCATCAGAGACATATGATGAAGGTTTTCAGCTTCATTGCTGACATTGTAGAGAGCCCAGTTGGCATCAACTTCGATAGGAGTAGTACCCCGGACCCGGAGACAGACCATTCGCCACAAATCGTTAAGACGATTTGCAGAATGAAACATGTTATCTGCACACAAACCGAAGCCCTTGCTTAGCATCCTGACCTGCATATACTTTCTCATCTTCTTTTTCAGAGCCTTGATTGTCATGTCCCTATCTTCAACACTAACTGATAGAAGCTTTATCTCAGCCTGCATCTTCTTTACCATCGGGCAATCAAACTCAATCCATCTTGTCGTGAATATATTTCAAACATTCAGTAGCAGCATTCTACACAACCTCATCAATATCCCCAGATGGACTGTCATGGATCTTCATGGGTTCTGACATCACGGACCAGTGCATACTACTGACAACAATAGAACTGCAGCTACTACTGACAACCGAGCAGCATTTTTATACACGGCCAAAAGTCCAAAGAACAGTAAGATCCACTCACATGAACCATAGATCGACACTACAAAAGTAAGGAATTTATAAGCGACCGATAGCTCGTGTTTACCTTGTTCATTGGTGGCATCGTGGTGGATTTTCCCTGTTCCTGTCCCAGGCGCGGCGGAGAAGAGCTCCCTCCGTGCGCTCTTGGTCCAGTGCACCAAATACAAAATAATAATAGAGTATGCAGCCAGATGCTCAAAGTAGCGGACAGTTTGATACCGAAAGCAATGGATCAAGTAACTGAACCCATGAGCATCTGGCCAGATAAGCATTGTCTAGTACTCCCTCCGTCCCAAAATTCTTGTCTTAGATTTGTCTTGTATCTAACACTAAAACGTAACTAGATACATCCATATTTAGACAAATCTAAGACAAGAATTTTGGGCTGGAGGGAGTACAACTGAGATATCAAGTTCAAAAAGGCAGTTCTATAGATCAGGATTAGGAATACATTCCACAGGTCAAAAGACCGTTCATACTACACATTGGGGACGAAGGACCATACATAATGATAGCAAGGCCTTTATACAAGAGACCAACGATAATCAGGTAGCAGTATACATAGGTAAGTGTGCAATGCCCCATTGCTCTTCACGGCGAACAAATACAGAAAGCTTACTGGCATGACTCATTAACAATAAAATAATATCAGAAATCCTCCTTGAACTTCTCATGAAGAACCAATAGCATCGCCAAACCATCATTTATCCCAGAATATATACTGGACGAATCCTACACACAAGTCAATTGTTATAACCAATGAATAGGAAATGCTGGATACAGCTGAGTTGTCATAACCAATGAATAGGAAACGCATCTTCATCATACTAACTCTAACAAACTCAATGTTTGTGGTAGTTTATCATTTTTTTAGGCAACTTTTCCGTGTATAATTTTCATGAAGGTTACTATTGTATGGGAAATAAAAAATGCAACCAGGGACTTCAACCTTGGTGAATATGACTCTCCTTTCTCCTTACAAATTCAGAAATGTGGCTATTCTTTTTTGTGTTAATCCTACGACTCATCTTACTTGAAGCTAGCTCACAATAATTCATTTTCATTCATAAATTCCTAAACGCGAATTATCCTTTCTCCCTAACATGCTTAGTCATGGTCGACCCTACCCATTGAGGCCAAGTCCATGTAATATCTGCCTGCAAGATCAAATTCTGAAATATTTGAGTTCAGACAGGCCCTTCTCACCACTTCCGTTCTTGCCCATCAGCATGCAAGGTAATCTATGTAGGATCCATATCAACTACTGCATCAATTTTTTTGTGGTCTATCCTATCCAAAATGCTCTAGTAACAAAACTCAGTTGTGTGTTGTTTCTTCAAACTGTGTGTTGGATTGTAAAATTTAGTTCGTTAGGAAAATCTCTACTAGTTGTAGTGATATTTTTGGGTCAAACCTCGAATCCGAAAGGCTATCACAATGCAAAACAGATCCTAAAAAGGCTACAATATTTTGGTGACACGCTACATCATATATCTATGCAATTGCATACACAGTAAGCAAGCCGCCTTCAAACTGCGGAATATATTCAGAAGAACAGAAAAGTATTGGTGACCCAAATCGTATCATCAGAGAAATGCATCACCCAGGACAGATAGATATGATCACAGGCGAAGTGAAACCCAACGATCGAAGTACCTGCTTTTGGAGCGGCATATGCAATTTTCACAAAATACAAAAGGATATCTTTTGATTAACAAGAGCTACTCCTGGGCAGTAGCTTTTTTCTTGCTCAAAAGGCCTCCTAGCTTGAGTTCATTGATCTTTGCAGCAAGGATGAAATCATTATCTGTTAAACCACCTGTTACCACAATAAACAAATAATTATAAACAAACGTGCTTGTGAGTCCTTTATTGTGCTTTTATGTTTTTTTAGCACCAGTTGACGACGAATGAACTGTTATACTTGGTATTTTCACTCCGTATTGTATGGCTCGTTCCTCTTTGTTTAAGTTGATTGGATTTCCCTATATGAAAATAAGTTTTATCACGACAATGGCCAACTGCAAATAGGCATCAAGCGCCTACCTACCAATTTTGCATGATCAGAAGACCTCTAATTAGTTCACATCATATCATTGTCAGCCCGTCAGAGTTCATAATACAGCAAATGAATAACTAGTAAACCATTGTTGTTCGGAATAGAATACAACAAAACAATTGGTTTTACAGGTCCAAGGGATTTAATAATCTACTATAACAATGCTGCTCCATTATTCTCGGAAATCAACGGAGGTGACTATTATTACAATTTCAAAAAGTAGTGAGATAAGTACTCCAGTTTAAAAAGAGAGATTTTAACTAAAGATAATACGTGAAATCTGAAGTCAAAATAACCATATGGAATACTTACTGACTGAGTGAGTCCACACATCAATTTTCACATTATTCCAACCAACAAGATGAAGATCTGGGTGGTGACCTGGAAAAGCATATCCATTTAAAGTTTTAAACATAGTTTGCCAAGATTGTTACTGAAACAAAAAAAAGTGCCAAGAAATTTGTTGGATTCTGGGTGAAATACAAATTTCTTGGCCAATTTCAGGGGTATTTTCCTTTAGAAATGTAGAAATACGATCTCTCATCATGCTAAATATAACTGCAAGACCAAATGCAACACATAGGTAGCAAAGTTTGAACAAAAGTAGTCTGATTATGACACCATGGATATATGAGGGGAAATATATCTTCTGAAAGCTTGGTCGTCCGTTGATAACATAACAGTTTAGGAGGTGCCAGGTTTGGTGAGGGCTGGGTAGCTATGCTGTCTATTATGTGGAGTCCGTTAACAACACATACAATTAATATCATTGTGAAGAAGTGAAGATACTGGCATACTGAACATATAATAGTTAGCAGCATTTACTTGTTGCGGTCTGTATGTGCCAAATGATATTGTTAAATATTACAGCGAGGATTTAGGACTGTAGGACAGGAAGTGAATGACTCCTCTTTGATAATACTCCATCCGTATCAAAATATAAGACGTTTTTTTATACTCCCCTTGTATCAAAAAGCGTCTTGTGTTTTGATACATAGGGAGTAGTAAGCAGTACATCGACTTGCTGTGGCCTGTATGTGCCAATGATATTCTTAAATTCCAATGCGGTGAGAACAGGGCACTTTTAAAAAACTGAATTCTGAACAATGAGACAATGTGAATATGAAGGACAGGGCAAAAGAAAGGAGACCTTCTTCCTCCGCAACAGCAGCAACAAGCTGAAAGAACTCAAGCCCTTTGGCAAAGTTCTTCACCTTCCATGCCCTGTGCAATTTCAGAATGTCGCCCTCATTTTTCACCTCCCAGCCAGCCACCTGTTTTTAAGGGAGGTCAGTCAACATAACCGGTCTTAATCAAGGTTTTTTTTTTTACTATAGCAAAGCATGAGCAGAGAAGAAAACCTGCTCTAGCAACGTTTTAGCAGAATCTTCTGACATGGCTTGTAAATCCTTTGAATTGCATGAGACACAGCTCCTTTTTGATAATTCTGCAAAGAAAAAGAAAAACGCATACTTTTTTTTACAGGACTGCATAGTGATCGGTGGCCTCAAGCTCGGAAGCGCACATCGGGGATGGCCTAGTAATGATAATATGACAACAAAGAGAGACACGAATTCGTAAGCAGGAATGGAGAAAAACGAACGGGGGTGCAGTTCAGGAGCCAGGAGCCCAGGAGGCCTAGATCGAGAGAGATTTAGAAAACGAACGGGGCTGCGGCGGCGGCGGCGCGCTCACCGACTTTAGCCGCGGCCTCGTCCCCCGTCGCCTGCGAGGCGGAGCGGCCAGTAGGGGCGGACGCGCTGGGTGCCGCCTGGTCGAGGAGTAGGGTACGCCCCTCCATCCCTGAGCTTCGGGGAGACGGCGGCGCAGTGCCGTGGGAGTGGGACTCCAGGTGAAGCTTCTATGTTCAGAGTTTTTCTTTTTTCTTTTTTTGAGACACATGTTCAGAGATGAGGGAACGGTTGCGTCTACTAGGCACGGAAACGGAGAGAGGCAAAGTACGCTTTCATGGACGTTTTACGGAAAAACATTCCATAGGGCCAAGCCACCTCTTCCCTCCCGACTCTCCCTTCGTCCCGCACAGTTCTGGCCCTAAACCAACCCCTGAACCCTCCCAATTCCCAAATCTAGTCGCCGAGGGAAGCTCGCCGCATCCTTCCCGGAGACCCCAATGGAGGACGGCAACGGGGCGCAGCCGCCGCCCTTGCCTCCGCCCGACGCGCCCGAAGCCGCGGGGCATCTGGCTCTCGTCCCCATGGACCAGGACGAGGACCAGGCCGCCGCCGCGGAGCCCATGGAGGACGGCGCGGCCGGGGGAGACGCCGCGGAGCCCATGGAGGAGGACGCGCCCACGTCCTCCCCGACCCCGTCCGCCCCCTCCACCACCGCGGCCGTCGACGACTCCACCGTCGCGCGGAAGCGCCGCCGCCGCAAGAAGCAGTTCCCCGGCATGATCCCCACGGCCGGCGTCCGCGTCCTCCGCGCCTCCTCCTCGTCGGGGGCCACCGCGGCGCATCTCGCTGGCATCCCGCGCCGCCGCGGCCGCCCGCCGACCAACTCCTCCCTCCGCCTGGCGCGGGAGCTGGATTCCGAGGCCACCATCGCGCTCGCGGCGGGATTCCCCGCGGATACCCTCTCCGAGGACGAGGTCGCCGCCGCCGTCATCCCACTTATTGGTGGCGCCGACCAGGCCAACTACCTCGTCGTACGCAACCATATTCTCGCGCTCTGGCGCTCTAATCCCCTCTCCCCCGTCGCGTCCAACGCCGCGCTCGCATCCATCCGCGCCGAGCACGCGCCCCTCGTCGCCGCTGCACACTCCTTCCTATCGGACCATGCCTACATCAATTTCGGCCTCGCCCCCTCCATTGTCTCCCTACCACCAATTCCCCCTCCCTCCCATCCTCCCCCTTCTGTCCTCATCGTGGGTGCTGGCTTTGCTGGCCTCGCCGCTGCACGCCACCTTATGTCTCTTGGCTTCAAGGTTGCCATTGTCGAAGGCCGACTCCGCCCAGGTGGCCGTGTGTTTACTAAGACAATGCGGTCCTCTGCAGCAGACTATCCTGACATTGCTGCTTCTGCTGATCTGGGAGGCAGTGTGCTCACTGGTATCAATGGGAACCCCCTTGGTGTCATAGCACGGCAGCTTGGGTTCCCACTTCACAAGGTGCGGGACAAGTGCCCGCTGTATCTTCCGGATGGCCGCCCAGTCGACCCTGGCATGGATGATCGTGTTGAGGCTGCCTTTAACCAGCTTCTTGACAAGGTTTGCCAGCTGCGGCAGGTTATCGCAGATAGTGTTCCACACGGTGTGGATGTGTCACTTGGCATGGCACTCGAGGCATTCCGGGCAGCGCATGGTGTTGCCGCTGAGCCAGAGGAACGGATGCTTCTTGATTGGCATCTGGCCAACCTGGAGTATGCCAATGCCGCTCCTCTTGCTGATCTCTCCATGGCCTTCTGGGACCAGGATGATCCATATGAAATGGGTGGCGACCACTGCTTTATACCTGGTGGCAATTCCCAATTTGTCCGAGCACTTGCTGACGGCGTCCCGATATTCTATGGACAGAATGTGCGAAGGATACAGTATGGGTGTGATGGTGTGTTGGTCTACACTGATAAGCAAACATTCCGTGGTGATATGGCGCTCTGCACTGTCCCCCTTGGTGTGCTTAAGAAGGGGGACATCGATTTTGTGCCGGAGCTGCCAGTTCAGAAACGAGAGGCCATTCAGAGATTGGGTTTTGGGCTTCTTAATAAGGTTGTGATGTTATTCCCTTTTGACTTCTGGGATGGTAGGATTGATACGTTTGGGCATTTGACTGAGGACTCTAGTCAAAGAGGTGAATTCTTCCTGTTCTATAGCTATTCTTCAGTCTCGGGAGGTCCACTGCTCGTTGCCCTTGTTGCTGGGGAATCTGCTATCAGTTTTGAGAAGAAGTCACCAATGGAAAATGTCGAGAGGGTGTTAGACACACTTAAAAAAATCTTTTCACCCATGGGGATCGAGGTACCAAACCCACTGCAGGCAATATGTACTCGATGGGGCACTGACAAGTTTTCATATGGATCATATTCCCATGTGGCTGTTGGGTCTTCCGGTGATGATTATGATATTTTGGCTGAGAGTGTTGGTGATAGAATCTTCTTCGCCGGGGAGGCAACAAATAGGCGGTACCCTGCAACGATGCATGGAGCTCTGCTTAGTGGGTACAGAGAGGCTGCCAATATTGTAAGAGCCGCTAGAAAGAGAGCAAAAAAGGTTGACTTATCTGAGAAAATAGTTGTCAGTTATGAAGTCAAAGATATTGTTAAAGATGACAACATTGATTTGGATGATCTCTTCCGTACCCCTGATGTTGCTTTCGGTGGCTTCTCAGTTCTGCATGACCCATCTGTATCTGAACCTGATTCAGCATCATTGCTGCGTGTTGGAATTGGTGCCAGAAAGTTAGGCTCTGGTTCACTTTTCCTGTACGGCCTAATAATGCGGAAGAATGTAACTGAGCTAGCTGCAATGGAAGGCGACGAGCAGCGGTTGAGTACACTGTACCGAGATTTTGGGACAAAACTTGTGGGATTGGATGGCTTGGGTGATGCTGGGGAAAGCCTTATATCACGGATAAAGGCTTCTTCTAAGAAGTAGCATCCAAACAAGATGTTGGATGGTTGACTCAGCTGTAACAGTTGTCAGCTCTGAGCATTTAGTTTGCAAGTCCAACATAGCTACTGACCTTTCAAGTAATTCATTCATTTCATTGATTGCTATATACCTCTCAATTCTCATCAAGGTGTAAGCTGTGCCATGTAATACTGGTTAAACCATGGGTAGTCATTGAAGATCATATCACCATGGGAAATAATGGAATTCTTATCAGTACTTTCTGTTCAGACTTGATACACCTCTCTGACATTTCTGTGATGACATTGTGATGCTTTTTTCTTTTCTTGGTGATGTAGCACTTGCTAGCATTTTCCCATTTGGGTGTGGTTATATGGTATTCCCTCTGTACCAAAATGTAAGACTTTTTTTTTTTAGTTTTGCATAGGGCATAAAAAACGTCTTACATTTTGTTATGGAGGGAGTTGTTATGACTCTTGATATTGTTTGGAGTATTTCTCCAAGTTGCCATTTCTTGTTTTGTTGGTGCTTTGCTTTTATTTCAGGATTCAGTCTCATTGATTAATTGTGCATTGTTGCTTATTCTGGAAGGTGGTTTTATATGAACTGCAAAGCATGTTAGTGTTTATTATTCATTGTCTTCAGCAAGCTGTAGGTAGAGGTTCTTCTAGGTGACAGCTCAAGAATCTGTTTGATCAGTTGGTCAGTGTGGTATCCATTCTTTCACCTTACAACCTTTAGTTTGACTATGTGTGAAGTAAATAATTTTTGAAGGAAATGCTGGAAACCTATAACTTTTCCAAGAAGCAGGTAACCAATCTTTTACTTTTCTGAACTTGATTCTACTAGTAAAATGCAGTACTCCTGTTGGCTTATCCAACTGAACACTATTTATTGTAATTTTGTCAAATAGATACAACATAACTTAAATTTACTGAGCTCCCTAAAATAGAGCCTTTTGATTATCTAACTATGATTTCGTTACTACCATTTTTTGCTGAATTAGATTTGGAACACAAGACCTGTATCTTTTGTTGTAGATATGATGACATATCACAGAACATAAATGATATTGCGTGCTGGCTAACATGAGAAATGACCATGCTCTTGATCTGTGCTCAGCAGTTTGTTGTGATAAAATTACTCCAATTCAGGGCCTTTATGATGGTAGTTGAGACAAATAGTTTTCTTGACGGTACTCCCTCCGTTCGGAATTACTTGTCACAAAAATGGATGTATCTGCAACTAAAATACATCTAGATACATTCATTTCTTACTCCCTCCGTTCCAAAATAGATGATCCAACTTTGTATTAACTTTGTACTAAAGTTAGTACAAAGTTGAGTCATCTATTTTGGAACGGAGGGAGTAGATGAGTAATTCCGAACGGAGGGAGTAGTTCTGATTTCAATGTTTTGACTTGTTTGAATAATGTCCTGATTTTAAGGTTAACGTTGTCACTTTATCAGCATAGCATACACATTATATAACTGTGCTGGTTGGAGGCACATTTAAGGTTCACAAGCTTCCAGTGCCAGTGTGCCACTATTAAATTCACATCAAATTAAAAATAGTGAGCATGTCTTGAAGCAAACTCACATCTGGTTGTTTATTTTGTAGCTAGCCGTTTCTAATATAAGCCCATGCTTATGTTTGGATGTTTGAAACTCAGTACATTCTTTGCTGTAGATTGCATGTTTCCGTTTGATTCACCAATATGGTATTACATCATCGGTCCATAATTTTTAGCTCTGTCATGTCATGCTAAAAATTGTGTGGTCTGTTGCTTTAGCCAGAAAGTGGTCCGATTTCAGTCAGAGTGGAAGCTTGAGCCAAAAAATACTTCCCAGGTTTGGGTTTTTCCTGCTGAGAACCTCCTATTTTGGTGTGTTCTTATTGTTATTATGTCTTGGAAATTAAAGAGTGGTTGTCCGTAGCAATTGTAAGGAGATGGCGCTCTCTTTCTTGGTAGCACCTGATTTCTTTTTAGGTTAAGTTGGAAATGTGGGACAGGCACGTGATGTCGCCTGGAATCCGTGCATATATGCTGCTTTAATTTCCCATAATCGCTTTCTGGTAATGACCAAGGCATGTTTACGTGCGGTACTGTTTTATCCCTGCAGATGTACTGCAGCATGGGTGATCATTCTAAAAAATGGTACCAGCACCGTGTTCTTTCTTTCTTTTTTTTTTCGAAACATCGTGTTCTTTCTTTT